TTAAGAAAAAAAATGAAACAAGTATTAACGTAATGGAATCATTTATCACCTGAATTGTGCAATATAACTTGGCCACCGCAAAGAGTTTCTAAGCTAACATTTGGAATGTTAGCCCTCGAGTGCTAACGCTCGAAATGTCTTCTTTAGAAATTGTTACGGTGGCCAATTCATATTTTCAATTCAGTTAATAAAACCAAATCATCTTGTTATATCCCCCACTGACGCAGCACCACAGTTTCTTTGGAAACTTGCTCCCGCTCCTCGAGTCTTTCGCGGGATGATAGCATACATACCCCTTTCTGTAAACTTGACTTCCACTCAAGGGTGTATCAGAGGTTTGGCGCATGCGTGTGTGTGTGTGGAGGGAAAGGGGGAGGGGGATGTCGGAAGGAGAATGTGCACCTCCCTTTGTAACCTTCACTTCCCTCAAGGGTACATGAAGGGTTTGATGATGGTGGGAGAGAGTTGGTGAGAATTTTGAACCCCTCTTTCTAAAACTGACCTCCCCTCCTGGGTGCATGATGGGGAAGAGGGGGGAGGGGAACGTAAGGAGTGTGCGGAAAATTAATAGTTTTAGGGTAGGACTCCTCCTCCTGCGCTTTTTGATTAATTCACGATCTTTTTTTTATTATACGTGGATAGTTTTTCAGACATGCACAACTTAAGCTTAGTGTTTCTTCTCTTCTTAGTGTACCTATGACAGGGACTTTTTTTGCGTTTGTATTTAGCTTATCATAAATTCAAACCAATTCCGATAGAGGGGAAATTTCCAAAAAATGAGACTCGGTTTTTTCGGGCCCTAAAGTGCTCTTATTTTGTCCCAAAAGTGTCCCGTAGACTGGTAACGAGTTAGCCCGCGGCGATAACGTAGAAAACTGCGAAAACTCTCAGTTGTCGCTTACAAATCTCTCACATCTCTGGTAATTTTGTATCAGTCAGCTTTGAAAAACTCTTGAAATAATGTCCAATAAGTATGTCTATCTACCTTCAGCAAGCTCTTAAAGAGTTGTGATACATCGTACTCAAGTAGTAAAGAAGAAATGGCAGTTGCAAGTACGGTTCAGAAGAACCGCGTCAATTAAACAAATATCTCGACCAAGACTGAAAAAGGGACAAAGACGATTTCTCGCTTGCGGTGTTAAGGTCAAGATTAGAACAAAAAACTCCCGTTACAAAATTTTAAGTTCTATGGCAAAAATGAGAGGCTGTATTCTTTTCTGTTGCCCTAACAAATTATTCTTTCGTACTAGGTGCGGCAAAGGTTCGCCTTGCATGGTCAGTGCTCTTGGGTTTCGTTGCTGTTTGGCAAACCAAAAACTTACTTTTGACGGCAGCATCGAAAGAATCAGATGAATCACGAAGCACGCACGATAATTTTCACCGAAAAGTCATCGATCAGTTTTACTGCAAGTTGCTCCTTTCCTCAGACATTGTAAAGACGGAGGCTATCGTCGTCGAGCCGTTTAAATGAAAAACGAGTGAGTTTATATTCATCAATAAGAGTTTTAATAGAGAAAGACCTCTTTAATTTGAGTGCAGCATTGCCACGTGACCCATTTCACTCACTGGAGAATAACCGACATCAATGTTGTAAATGGATATATGCATCGACTTTCACACAGCACTCGGATTCACTACTATCAAATTCAATATTTTTGTTTCACAATTCGTCGCGTTGCAGTGCTGTTATCACGATGACATCGCTATTTTGCTACGGTTAGTTTTTTGAGGGCATAGGGGAATTGATAGCTCGTCGGATGGATTTTCGGAAACCCAGGTTGGGAGAACACAAGGCCCCTTAGAGTTTGTGTTTATGCCAGTATCCGCCAGAGGTTTCGCACCGTTCAGGCGACTGGATACCAGTCAGCTCAGGAAAGGGCTTGACTTTTAATACAAATGATGTATTTCTCTTTTTAAAGTTCGATGGAAACTACAACTGGTACAATTATCAAACGATGAAAAAAGCGCAAATGTAATCATGTAGAAAGACAAAGAGTATAAGTATCTCTCAAGCGCATGAAATAAGCAACATTGAGAAGCTCACAATTCTTCGCTTGCGTAATGTCAGCCGAAAAGAATGTGGTATAATCGTGTCCGATGTGGAATAGGCCCCTTAATCAGCATTCTTTTTTTAGGTGAATTCACTGGCAATCTAAGTTCCCCTGATTTGACCAGTGGTATGTGTTCGTGACAGCCGTCTTCGAAGCCGAAACGGACACAACGGAGCATAGGACCGGCGACTTTAAAGAGTAAAATCTCCTCTACGACGACGATGGAAACGCTTCCATTTTGGCCATACAGCTACATCCTTTGGAAAGTAGTATATAGAAATACCCAGTGTAGGTCTATCATTCTTGTAGCTAACATCATTTGGCGCTCCGTCCACGAAATCCGTTCATCGTCGCAGGCACTTTATATCTCTTCCATCAATTCTTTTTCCTTTCGTTTTATATTGTTTAAAGGCTGGTAAGCCTGTGGTTCAGAGCCGGGTTTTGATTCACTCTTCCCTCATCCTTTTTTCTTGCTTTTCCCACTCCTACCTCTCTCTCAGAAATAAACAACCGAGGAGGGGGGGGGGGAAAGTTTGAACACCTGGGTAACCTGTTGCTATGGTCAATATCTTTTCTCTCTTTTCTCTCTCCTTTCTCATTTTTAACTCGTGCAAAAGAGTTTTTAAGAAGACTCAGATATGCAAATGAGTCACTCACTCACTAAGATGTGGACACTGATAATTAGTCGTCCCGAACTCGCTCGAGCACGAAACCACATTGGAGTAGTAACCACACGTGACGTTAGTAAGGCTTTGTTACATATTAAGCATCGTTGCTTTAGATATAACCTTGCATGTGAAAAAAATTTTATCGAGTTCAGGCACAAACCCACTACTGTGAATCGCTTCCATTGTTTATGATCTGATGTCAAACATGAACCGTGATTAAATTTAATTATCTTATGAAAACTGTGCATTGGCGACTGAATCGGTCAGAAGCGGACGAAAATAATCCTGTGCTTTTCTGACAAAAGAAAATTTGTGGAATTCACTACCGCATATGTTTATTTTCAATCAGACAAAAGTATTGTGATCGCCTAAAATGCCTTCTGAGGTAATTTGTTCCGAGGCAGAAAACTTAAAGAGTTTTGTTATCAGATGCACGCGAGAGTCAACTCTTTAACTCCCATGAGTAACCAAGACAGAATTTCTCCTTACAATATCAATACAATATCAACCAGATATGTGATGAGAATAAATAGAAATATCAATTTAAGGATAATTAGTTGATTCAATACTAAATTCTCTGAACTAACATCATAAGAATTCTATGGTTGACAGTAGGAGAATTACAAATTTGATCTGGGAGTTAGAGGGTTAAGGCTGCAAACAAAGACTGTTACGCTGCAATTCAACCATTTCTTGAGCAGCCGAGGCGGAACGTGACATATGAATGGAAAATAGAAAAATTTGGCTTGTGCAGGCGAAGAAAGACTTGGATTGCAGCGTCTAAATTTGACAAATTTTGCGAACAGAAATTCGATAAACGCAGGATACTATTTTGTGCTGTTTCTAAAGACTATAAATGCGTTTATTTCTCAGCGGAGTTGATGGTTACCATGCTCGGCTTTTGAGATAAGAGCAACCTTGTATTGCTGCAAGAAATATAATTACAGGTTCACAACCACGTTTCATCTCTAGATGAAGAACTCTATGCACGAGTTGGCCATAGATATTCTCTGATTTCAGTTAGCAAGACAAGTCACTCTTTCACCCAGTTTTTCTGTGTAAGCAGAGTAAAACCCACCCCCTAAAACATCCAAATTGCATCGACCATGGGTCAGTTTACAAGAAATATCAAACGAAAAAAGGGAATTGAAGAAAGGAAGCAGCAGGCTAAGGAGCATCGTAATCAAACGGACTTTCTGGATGAACGCAAAAAAAAGTATACGCATCAACAAAAAATAGAGGAGAAAAACTGAAATTCTGTTGAAAATACCTTTATTTATATCAGTTACGTCTTAAGAAATACATAAATGGTTCAAGTAAACGTACCTTTACAAAATTAAAAAATGTCTTCTAACAACTTTTCTAAAAAAAAGTTCACTTCGAAAAATAGATTGTTCTTCACAGCCTACAACAAAGGCTCATGTAGTCATCATAAAGAGTCTTACCATACAACATGGCTACAACTCTATTAATTAACTCTTTGCACCCTAAGAATTATCAACTTCAAATTTCTCACAGGACTTAAAAGTGTCAGCACATTATCACACTAAAGTAAGTTTATGAGAATCAAGTAACTGATCACCAAAGAATAATTACTCTAACCTTAAACCAATTATGGCAGTCCCTCTAGAAAATATATATATATGAGCAGAATTTATTACTAAAGACAAAAATATTACATCCGATTTTCAACTACAACAAAATCCGAGGCAGTCCAATGTTTCCAAATTATCCTCGCGCGGATAATCTGGTGGTTTACACGCACGCGCGTTACAGATGAAGCATAGTTTCTTTTAACAGCTTTATCCATTAAACGTGACAAGGTAAAAGTTGTGTAGATAAGATTGTAATAAAGTGTAACGGTCTCTTGACTAAACGTACACGCTCCTATAAAAGCTCTTACAAAAGTAAATAATCTTTGCAAACAGATGCTACGTAAGTCTGATACCAATACTGATATCGATAAATGGAAGCTACTGTACATTTACCCTGTTCAAGGTCAGAGTCATTAATCGCTGCTTATTCCTGACGTAAACGCTTCTTAAAGTTGGTCATAAGGCAAGGTAGCCATGTCCTTGAGGGTTTCTATTTATTGCAAGTATTGTCACATGTGGATGACACTCCTACGTAACCACCAGAGCAGCGAACCATCATCACCAATTTTATTGCTACCCAAATTCAGCGTTGTCAGCGATTTAATATATTTCAAACACTAACCCAGTGCAGCAGCACCATCATCACCACTTTCATCACTATCCAAAATCAACGTTGTCGGCGATTTGTTATATTTCAAACGCTCACCCAGAGCAGCAGCACCATCATAACCAATTATAGTACGTTTCAAATCCAACGTTGTCGGCGATTTGTTATATTTCAAACACTCACCCAGAGCAGCAGTACCATCATCACCAATTCCATTATCACTCAAATCCAACGTTGTCAGCGATTTGTTATATTTCAAACACTCACCCAGAGCAGCAGCACCATCATCACCAATTTCATTATAATTCAAATCCAACGTTGTCAGCGATTTGTTATATTTCAAACACTCAGCCAGAGCAGCAGCACCATCATCACCAATTTCATTATCACTCAAATCCAACGTTGTCAGCGATTTGTTATATTTCAAACACTCACCCAGAGTAGCAGCACCATCATTACCAATTCCATTATCACTCAAATCCAACGTTGTCAGCGATTTGTTATATTTCAAACACTCACCCAGAGCAGCAGCACCATCATAACCAATTATACTACGTTTCAAATCTAACGTTGTCAGCGATTTGTTATTTTTCAAACACTCACCCAGAGCAGCAGCACCATCATCACGAATTTCATTATAATTCAAATCCAACGTTGTCGGCGATTTGTTATATTTCAAACACTCACCCAGAGCAGCAGCACCATCATCATCAATTCGATTATCACTCAAATCCAACGTTGTCAGCGATTTGTTACATTTCAAACACTCACCCAGAGCAGCAGCACCATCATCACCAATTCCATTATCACACCAAATCCAACGTTTTCAGCGATTTTTATGTTTCAAACACTCACCCAGAGCAGCAGCACCATCATCACCAATTTCATTATCACTCAAATCCAACGTTGTCAGCGATTTGTTACATTTCAAACACTCACCCAGAGCAGCAGCACCATCATCACCAATTCGATTATCACTCAAATCCAACGTTGTCAGCGATTTGTTATATTTCAAACACTCACCCAGAGCAGCAGCACCATCATCACCAATTCCATTATCACTCAAATCCAACGTTGTCAGCGATTTGTTATTTTTCAAACACTCACCCAGAGCAGCAGCACCATCATCACCAATTTTAGTTAATTTCAAATTCAACGTTGTCAGCGATTTGTTATATTTCAAACACTCACCCAGAGCAGCAGCACCATCATCACCAATTAAAATAAATTTCAAATTCAACGTTGTCAGCGATTTGTTAGATTTCAAACACTCACCCAGAGCAGCAGTACCATCATCACCAATTCCATTATCACTCAAATCCAACGTTGTCAGCGATTTGTTATATTTCAAACACTCACCCAGAGCAGCAGCACCATCATCACCAATTTCATTATCACTCAAATCCAACGTTGTCAGCGATTTGTTATATTTCAAACACTCACCCAGAGCAACAGCACCATCATCACCAATTCGATTATCACTCAAATCCAATGTTGTCAGCGATTTGTTACATTTCAAACACTCACCCAGAGCAGTAGCACCATCATCACCAATTCGATTATCACTCAAATCCAACGTCGTCAGCGATTTGTTATATTTCAAACACTCTGCCAGAGCGGCAATCCCATCTTGCAAAGATTCATCCAATGTTAAGTTTCTCACAGTTGTATTTGTTTTCAGAAAGTTGCTTAAAAAGACAGCTAGAGTTTCATCCACTTTTACACTTGAAACTTTAACAGTTTCAGTTTGAAGAGAAGCGCCAAGAGCGGTAGCCAATTTTTCATCAACATTTTTTTTCTTCTTTTTGCATTCATTAACACACTCTAATATAACGTCCACGTCTTCCTCTTCTTCCTGGTTTAACTGTGTTGCTATGCTTTCCAGAAGTTTCACCACTGTTTCCTCGCATCTTGCTGCTAGCATACCAAATGTAAACAGAAGCACTTCTTTCAGTTGATGGCGATATTTTTTGTCAGCAGCTATGCTGTTCGTACTGATTTCTTTCTGGATAAACTGACAACTGAGATAGAACGCTGCGAAGAATTCTTGGAAAGTCTTGTGAAGAAAGCTGTAACGTCTAGTTGGACTTAATTTACTGCCTCCAGGCTGAACTGACAGAAATCCAAATCCAGGTAAATCGCTTGCTTTGTGTTTTCCAAGCTCCTTCTCGTCAAAATCCAAGTTGTCTTCAAGTAAACCTTTCAAAGCTATCGAACCAAGGTGTTTCAACTGGCTTTCGTAAAGGTCAACAAGGTCTTCACCGATCTCTGGTAGTTGCTGCTTTGTTCTGTACCTCCTTAGTACACACTCCACCATTTCCATGTACAGCTTCGTTCTGCTTTCAGGAAATACACCTTTCAAATCTTCATAGACCAGGCAAAGAAGCGCAGTGTTGAGAGGATTCGTCAATACTTCATATAACTTGCGATCAATATACAGGTGTGCGATAAGCTGCTTGGCCAAGTTTGGTTCGGCTTTGAAGTACTTTCTGATGAAGGATTGTACATCTTCTTTAGTAAATCCCTTAACTTCTAACAGAGTGTCGCAGTATTTTCGAACTTTGACTCCAGCTTCGTGTCGTGCCGTAGCAACCACGCGACAGTTTGGCAGTACTCGCCCTTGAATAATTTCTGAAAACATAGGTAGCTTCTTCTCAGAAACTTCATCCAATCCATCGAGTACCAGAAGAACATTAGACTGATTGTGGCGAATGAAGTCGAAGAATCTCTCACGTTGGTCTTCACCAACTTCTCGAGGCAGAAGTTGATCTTCAATGGCCTCCCAAAGGCCAGACTGAACATCACGACATTTGATCAAAAGCACTATTACGATGTTTGCGAAGCAATTTCCGGTTGCGTGTTTTCCTGAGGCCCAGTCGAAAACAACTTTTTTACAGTAAGTGGTCTTTCCCATACCAGGCTTCCCTTCAATTAACACTACTCTTGGTTCTTCACATTCTTCGTGCTGGTTGAAGATTTCAGACATCGTGACAACTCGGTCTGTTGCTGTTCCTTTCGTTTTCTTTCTGTAGATGACTGGTCTGGTGTAGATATCGTCAAAGGAGAAGTGAAAACCTTCACACCAGGGAAACGGTGCCAGCCAACCTTCCCGATTTTTGTAGAGTTGACGAATATTATCAATAATTCCAGTTGGGTCAAATCCATCTGAAAAAGAATTAGTTGTTAGTTTTATGAGGCATTCTTACCGACACGCTTTATGACGCCATGACTCTCGGAAAAATAAACAATTATACGATGACACTGAGAATGATATCGTGAAATATCACCACTTAGGTCTGAGTTATCTGACGAAGCCGAAGGCTGAAGCAGATATTATTGACACGAAGTTTGATAATTCATAATAACATGAAAAAAAAAAAAAACCAGAATCAAACAGATGTTTTTTTCATTTTGAAAACAACTGAAAAATAAAACATTTCTCTCTGAGGGTGCAAAATTTTGAGAACACTACACGGTCGAGGGGCTTGGAAACTAGGCAGACTCTGAACTCAACATGATCAATATCCGCTGCATTTAATGGGTTATGAAGTCAATCTCTTACGCTATTGTGTATCAATTAAGTGGTGATCTCTGTAAGAGTGGTCCAAGGCCTTTCACATCAGAGAAAAGTTTTGCCTCAAACTTTGCCCATTAAATTATCTTTGGTAGTAAGTAAATAAAACCACGTCGGTTTCTGGAAATACGTTCAAAAAATTTTTTGAGAGCTCTCAATAGTCAGAGCTGCAAAAAGCCCTTTTTTGACCTCTTGCGACATCAAGAATTTCAAAAGTTGACAAGCTTGCTCCTCGTAACACACCGCATGCAGCAAGAAATCGTTTGTGTTCCTAAATTTTGTGATATATAAGGGGTTTAGAAGGCATTCAATTTTGATATGTGTTCATTCAGAGGTTAGCCATAATTTATTTAAAAACACTCGTTAGCCGATTTTTTTTTAAATCGGTCAAAGGTACTCTTTCTTTCTTGGGTGATATTTCTCAAGTCCAGACCAGACCATAGAAAACTGCGGTGGATTTCTTCTAATAAGATGTTCGAAATTATAGAAATGTAAAAACATCTTTCACTTATTCATTTTCTCCGTCTTAGTGACTTCAAACTTTTGGTGATTTTGCTAACGCGACAGTAGAATTATGCATAAATCTTAGATTTCAACAATTTTAAAAAGAAAAGATAGCAGGGTAGAGCATTATGAACACACAAATTGATTTTCTAAACATTTTTAACGGCTAAATTCTGACAAATGATTCTGTATCGTGACGAAAAAGGTGAACAAAACGTATCAAATATCATATTGATTAGCGTTCGGTCAACGTGTTAATGAGGAACCTTTTTTAAAAAAATTGGTTTCTGTTCTTTCACATTTGAGTTTAGAGGGTTTAAGCTATTCAAACCTGTGTGAGCAAAAAATCACGTCATCGCTGCCTTTTTTAGACGGGAAAAGTACACATACATTTACATACATTTACATACATTTACAGAACACATCCCCATCTGGGGCTTTCCAATGAAGAAATTGGATTACAAATTAAAATACGCTCAATATAATACGAATTATATATCTTTAAATAAAATATGGTCAGTTTAAAAATTCATTCAAAACGTGATTTTTTAGAGCTCTCTTAAAGGAAGCGAAACTCTTACATAATTTATGGCTTGGATCTAACTTGTTCCAGATAGATACACTTTTACAATAAAACGTTTTCTGTCCTGTTGCAGTTTTAAAAGGAGGAATGTTTAGTCGTTGAAAGTTTCTGGTTATACTTTCAGATACGCTGCCTCTTGTTATATACAGAAATGTTAAGTATTCCGGGGCTTAATCCGTCATACATTTGAATGTTAAAGTAGCATCTCGGCATTACAGTTGTGTTTTTACAGGGAGCCAACGTAAGTTTTTTAATACAAGAGAGATATGGTTATACTTATTTACGTTGCAGATAGTTCGCGCGGCAAAGTTTTGAACGTATAGCAATTTACGAATATTACAGGCTGAGGTGGATGATCATACTGATTAACAGTAACATAGTTTACTGAAAACAAGCGCATTTATTATGATTTTAAGCAGTTATTTATCGAAAACGAATCTAATACGGCTTATTTGAGATAATTTCGACATGCAAGACGATACAAATATCAAAAGATAGCGTGGGATTAGAAATTACTCAAAGGTCTTTGACTGATTGAGCCGGGTTAATGTCTTTTCCTAGTGGGGATAATTTAAAGTCCAGTAATTTCGAAGACATTCCTCGGCTGCCAAAAACCATTAGTTTCGTCTTATCTGGATTAAGCGTTAAACAATTGTCGAAACACCACTGAATTGCGAATCTGTTGTAAGTCGGAATTAACACTTTGAGTGATCCAAGCAGAGTCGTTCACCGTAAAAGACAATAGGAGCTTAGTCATCCACGTAGCAAGCAGTTGAACAATTTTGACAAACATTTGGTAGATCGTTTACATAAATACTAATTATCAACTGTCATATGATAATTTCTGATTTTAAAATTGATAAGGAAGTTATCAGGGCGAAACAGGTCCATGTGAGAGATCTTTGCAAAGTCTTTACGAAAAATCCTAAAAAATTTATTAGCCCGCTTACTTTCCCGGCGTCATGTTAACTATATGCAAGATTTTGGTCAAAAAATCAGCCTGGCAGATGAGATAATTCCCCAACTTGCCTCTTTGGCTCAGTTGGTAAAATTGAAGTATATTCAGTCGCGAAATCAAAAAGTTTGAGGCTTGGATCCTCTACAATGCCAGTGACTGTTATTTATTACCATTCTGTCATAAATAAAGCCATGATACCCACAGGTAAGCGATAATTTTAAAAGTTACAGGAAGAAACCTGTGAAAAGGTTCAGGCTTCGATGAAATTTGAACCCGTGCTTCCGACTGAAATGGAAAAAACTGCAACTTCCCATAATTACATTTCTGATCATTTTCCAGATGCAACACTACTTTGTTCGCACATTGTCCAAAAACAAGAGTCCTGGGAAATTCCTCGAAGAAACTTAACGGATCTAATTAATTACACTACTCAGGAGGGTATAAAAGAGATTAAAAATCAATCCTCAGGTATACACCTCACAAGAGGGTATGCAAGAGATTAAAAGTAACCCTCAGGTATACACTACCCAAGAGGGTATAGAAGAGATAAAAGTAACCCTTAGATATACACTACCCAAGAGGGTATAGAAGAGATTAAAAGTAACCCTTAGGTATACACTTCCCAGAAGGGTATAGAAGAGATTAAAAGTAACCCTCAGGTATACACTACCCAAGAGGGTATAGAAGAGATTAAAAGTAACCCTTAGATATACACTACCCAAGAGGGTATAGAAGTGATTAAAAGTAACCCTCAGGTATAAACTACCCAAAAGGGTATAGAAGAGATTAAAAGTAACCCTCAGGTATACAAGACCCAAGAGGGTATAGAAGAGATAAAAGTAACCCTTAGATATACACTACCCAAGAGGGTATAACAGAGATTAAAAGTAACCCTCAGGTATACACTACCCAAGAGGGTATAGAAGAGATTAAAAGTAACCCTTAGATATACACTACCCAGGAGGGTATAGAAGAGATTAAAAGTAACCTTCAGGTATACACTACCCAAGAGGGTATAGAAGAGATTAAAAGTAACCCTCAGGTATACACTACCCAAGAGGGTATAGAAGAGATTAAAAGTAACCCTTAGATATACACTAACCAAGAGGGTATAGAAGTGATTAAAAGTAACCCTCAGGTATAAACTACCCAAAAGGGTATAGAAGAGATTAAAAGTAACCCTCAGGTATACAAGTCCCAAGAGGGTATAGAAGAGATAAAAGTAACCCTTAGATATACACTACCCAAGAGGGTATAACAGAGATTAAAAGTAACCCTCAGGTATACACTACCCAAGAGGGTACAGAAGAGATTAAAAGTAACCCTTAGATATACACTACCCAGGAGGGTATAGAAGAGATTAAAAGTAACCTTCAGGTATACACTACCCAAGAGGGTATAGAAGAGAGTAAAAGTAACCCTCAGGTATACACTACCCAAGAGGGTATAGAAGAGATTAAAAGTAACCCTTAGATATACACTACCCAGGAGGGTATAGAAGAGATTAAAAGTAACCTTCAGGTATACACTACCCAAGAGGGTATAGAAGAGATTAAAAGTAACCCTCAGGTATACACTACCCAAGAGGGTATAGAAGAGATTAAAAGTATCCCTCAGGTATACACTACCCAAGAGGGTATAGAAGAGATTAAAAGTAACCCTTAGATATACACTACCCAGGAGGGTAAAGAAGAGATTAAAAGTAACCTTCAGGTATACACTACCCAAGAGGGTATAGAAGAGATTAAAAGTAACCTTCAGGTATACACTTCCCAGAAGGGTATAGAAGAGATTAAAAATAACCTTCAGGTATACACTACCCAGGAGGGTTAGAAGAGATTAAAAGTAACCTTCAGGTATACACTACTCAAGAGGGTATAGAAGAGATAAAAGTAACCCTCAGGTATACACTACCAAAAAGGGTATAGAAGAGATAAAAGTAACCCTTAGATATACACTTCCCAGAAGGGTATAGAAGAGATTAAAAGTAACCTTAAGGTATATACTACCCAAGAGGGTATAGAAGAGATTAAAAGTAACCTTCAGGTATACACTACCCAAGAGGGTATAGAAGAGATAAAAGTAACCCTCAGGTATACACTACCCAAGAGGGTATAGAAGAGATAAAAGTAACCCTCAGGTATACACTACCCAAGAGGGTATAGAAGAGATAAAAGTAACCCTCAGGTATACACTACCAAAAAGGGTATAGAAGAGATAAAAGTAACCCTAAGGTATACACTACCCAAAAGGGTATAGAAGAGATAAAAGTTACCCTCAGGTTTACACTACCCAGGAGGGTATAGAAGAGATAAAAGTAACCCTAAGGTATACACTACCCAAAAGGGTATAGAAGAGATAAAAGTAACCCTCAGGTATACACTACCCAAAAGGGTATAGAAGAGATAAAAGTAACCCTAAGGTATATACTACTTAAGAGGGTATAGAAGAGATTAAAAGTAACCCTTAGATATACACTACCCAAGAGGGTATAGAAGAGATTTAAAGTAACCCTTAGATATACACTACCCAGGAGGGTATAGAAGAGATTAAAAGTAACCTTCAGGTATACACTACCCAAGAGGGTATAGAAGAGAGTAAAAGTAACCCTCAGGTATACACTACCCAAGAGGGTATAGAAGAGATTAAAAGTAACCCTTAGATATACACTACCCAGGAGGGTATAGAAGAGATTAAAAGTAACCTTCAGGTATACACTACCCAAGAGGGTATAGAAGAGATTAAAAGTAACCCTCAGGTATACACTACCCAAGAGGGTATAGAAGAGATTAAAAGTATCCCTCAGGTATACACTACCCAAGAGGGTATAGAAGAGATTAAAAGTAACCCTTAGATATACACTACCCAGGAGGGTAAAGAAGAGATTAAAAGTAACCTTCAGGTATACACTACCCAAGAGGGTATAGAAGAGATTAAAAGTAACCTTCAGGTATACACTTCCCAGAAGGGTATAGAAGAGATTAAAAATAACCTTCAGGTATACACTACCCAGGAGGGTTAGAAGAGATTAAAAGTAACCTTCAGGTAAACACTTCCCAGAAGGGTATAGAAGAGATTAAAAGTAACCTTAAGGTATATACTACCCAAGAGGGTATAGAAGAGATTAAAAGTAACCTTCAGGTATACACTACCCAAGAGGGTATAGAAGAGATAAAAGTAACCCTCAGGTATACACTACCCAAGAGGGTATAGAAGAGATAAAAGTAACCCTCAGGTATACACTACCCAAGAGGGTATAGAAGAGATAAAAGTAACCCTCAGGTATACACTACCAAAAAGGGTATAGAAGAGATAAAAGTAACCCTAAGGTATACACTACCCAAAAGGGTATAGAAGAGATAAAAGTTACCCTCAGGTTTACACTACCCAGGAGGGTATAGAAGAGATAAAAGTAACCCTAAGGTATACACTACCCAAAAGGGTATAGAAGAGATAAAAGTAACCCTCAGGTATACACTACCCAAAAGGGTATAGAAGAGATAAAAGTAACCCTAAGGTATATACTACTTAAGAGGGTATAGAAGAGATTAAAAGTAACCCTTAGATATACACTACCCAAGAGGGTATAGAAGAGATTTAAAGTAACCCTCAGGTATACACTACCCAAGAGGGTATAGAAGAGATTAAAAGTAACCCTTAGATATACACTACCTAAGAAGGTATAGAAGAGATTAAAAGTAACTCTCAGGTATACACTACCCAAGAGGGTATAGAAGAGATTAAAATAACCCTCAGGTATACACTACTCAAGAGGGTATAGAAGATTAAAAGTAACCCCTATACCCTTAGGGTATAGGAGATATTAAAAATTAACCCTCAGGTAGGAAACGAAAAAATTGAACTCACACTAATTAATATCAGGAGACCGTTCTTTGTCGGGACTCTTTCTTTTGACTGAAAGCTGAAGGAATCCCTTGCGAAATGGCTTTTGGAATTCCTAGGAATTCCTAGGAAATTCCTTCTAAACCTAGAAATTCCCAGAAATTCCAAGTTTATAGCCAACAGGACTTGGAATTCCTAGGAATTCCTAGGAATTCCAACTCAGAGAACCAATGACTTTCCCTGAAAAGCTGTAAATCTAAAAAATTCCTAGGAATTTCTGGGAATTTCTGGGAATTTTTAGGAATGTTTAAGAATTACTGGGAATTCTAAGCAAAAATTTGAGGCTAATGATATAAAATAAATACTTTAAATTAAAAAAACCCAGCTAAAATTCAAGTATTCAATGAAATTTATTTAGAAGCTTAATTAAGGCTTACACGTAAAATATTTTTGATTAATTATTAACATCAATGTGTGGTAATATTAGGATGGAATTTGATTTATTTTTCTTTTCTTGAAAACTTCATACGGATTAATCCTCAATTACAGCTATTCATATAAAATAGTTCTAATCAATCATTAAATTTGGTTTGACACAAATTGTGAATAAAATCTGTTGATTCTTTTCCATAAAATACAATATCTTAAGTTATATTTGAAAAACCAAGCACTCTTGGGAGTGAAGGGGCTAATTACAGACAAATAAAATTAATTTTTTGATTAAAATCTTGTTCTAACTGTAACAATATATTAGAATGAAGTTATCCTAAACTGCAAACTTAGCTGCTGTTTGTACTGTTTGTATTTTTTTTCCTGGGCTCACAATGAGTTGGCCTTGAATGAGGTTGTCAACAAGAACCTTGACCATTTTGTATCTGGATTCCTTGACATCTGAATTTGAAAAAAAAAAAAATTAAAATATGTATATTTAAAGCTCAGACCAGGCTTTTAAGATGGCTATGAGGAAAAGGGCATTCATTGGATTCTCAAATTGAGAAATCTCTGTTATATTGAGTGACTTTTATATTGGAGTTAGTACATCTCTCTCATTGATTTTACTAAAAAAGGGCTGAATACATTATTTTGTTTTTACCAAGGAGGGCTTCTTTATGTACTAAGGTTTGTTTAATAACAGTTCCTATTATGAATCTTGAATGTTCCCAAACGTGACTAGAGGAATCTTGAAACCTTACTGATAGGATTATTTCATTGCAAAGCATAAGCTTAAGAAACTGCGGCATGCAAGTGACCGATTCGATTCTCAGAATTATTCTAGTTTCAGTTGCGCCGAGCGTTATGTAAGCTTAATTCAACCCGCTACATCTATTCTTTTATAAGATTTTGATCACGTAACGAATATCGCAATTTTTACTCACCACAAACTTTCAAAATCGTAGGTTTACAGATGGCCACTCGACCCTTGTTTGTACCAGTCAATATGTCAACTGTTGTCCCTTCTTTTAACTCTACAGCGCCAACAACTTTCTTTTCTTTTACAACACTCACGCTATTCTCGTTTTTCCATTGAACCACAATAAAAGCTATCTTTAGAAATGTTATATTAAGCAAAACAGTTGAGAAAAGCGATCAACCGATGAAAAGTACATTTAAAGATGAGCGCCAATGGAGTTTTCTTTGTTTCCGATCACGGGCATGATCACGTGGATCTTTTACGACTTTTCATTGGCTAGCAAAGTGAATCCGCTGACTTGCCGATTGCAGTGTCAAGAGAAGCGCCCAACTTTATTCTGACTTCTCCGACCGGTTCTCTGCTTCTCGAAGATGGACAGCTTGGTGATTTAAATAAAGATGTGAGCTCACTCTATGTAGAAATAATCGACAAGAATCGATCGTATCAAAAATGCACGATTTGTGGCCGAAAGGAAACAAAGACTTTCGAGGAAACAAAGACTCGAAACTCACTTGAGTTGTGTTAATGGCAAAGGTGAGAAATAACACAAGCCAATCACAGTTTTGAATGCGACTACAAATCGTCTTTTACCCTCATATTTATAAAAGAAGGATACCACATTCGGAAGTATAAGAGATACATAGATGATCCCAGAGTACCAGTACCTAAATCTACAAAGCTTGACCGTAGCAAGCGTTCAGCAACACGTTCCAACACCGCCATCTCGATTCCTCAGTCAGTCGTTTCCACTGAACTTAAAGCAGTATTGACAACAGAGTAGAGTGCGTCTTACAAAGGAGAAACATTTGTACAAGAGACAGAAGTAGCTATATGCGATTACAGAGGTGCGTTGGAACTCTGGTCCACAAATAGTTATGCACTGCCCGAAGTATAAAACAATTTTGTTGATAGCTGACAGACAGAGAAGAACAACAAGTAAACTTAAGAGCTGTTATTATTGAAGTGTGACTAGCACTTTTCATTTTTTATATAAAGAAGGACTTGTAATTTGCGAAAAAAAATAAAAAAGATGTAATGTTTTTGGGAGATCCAGTGATTGGGACATTTAAGAAATTAAGTTATGAAAGGAAACTTGGTTGGTACTTCTCACTACTAACAAGTCTTGTTGACAAATATTTTCAGATCAGAGTTTCAAATAAAGTAAATTGAAGACGTCATATAAAAAGTGTTTTTTCCTCAAAGGGAACATTGACTACCTCTGTCTTGTCTGCATGCCAAATGTTTGCAAAAGTGTGTGGATGATCCACAAGTATTGGAACTCTTACAAAAATGTTTTGTAAGAATAAAAACAACAAAACAAATTACAGCAATTAGTCATGAAAATAGAGCAAAAACTGAAAAAAAAAAAAGCAGCAACAACAATCATGAAAAAAGAAAGATTAATTAGGTGTTGAATTTGTTTGTCTAAGGCATGAAATTTCTACTAAAAGTATTGTCAACAAAAAGTCTCTGACAGCGTTTGAGGCAACTGAGCTTGACTGTTCCAAGGTTTTCTAGCAAAGGCAACCAGTAATGTAGGTTAGGGAAGTAAGATAACAATGTAATTATTGTTAATTATTGTGGAAGTTGGCAATTTCCTAGGAATTCCCAGAAATTCCCAGAAAACTGGGAATTCAGTTTGCAAGGGTCATTTGCATAATTGGGAATTTTTGAGAATTCCTAGGAATTCCCAGAAAACTGGGAATTCAGTTCGCAAGGGATCCACCGTTAACTTATATAATCATTATCCTTTACAAGTACGCGAATGTCGTTGTTAAGCTCGGTCATTCTTGACTGACATCTCTGCAATTCCCCATGATTATTCGACTAGAGGCATTTCCCGCCTAAAGTGCACGGTTGAGAGCAATTTGATTTAACAGGATTATTGTCGAAAACGTGAAAAGGCTGTACCACGCTTCATTATAAAGTCACGGTTTATTCACTTGATTTAACGACGCGATTCTATTTCAACGCTTTAGTTAACTCCCACTCACAACTGCTAGTGTAAATATACGTTCGATCGTACATGCTGCAATCTGATTGGCTTAGCTACTCACTATTTATTCTCTGACAGATAGAAAGGAATGTAAACAGCACAGGGGATGGCCCATTTGTATTAATATTCAATAAAAACACGAGCCTGCCTTTCTTCCAAGTCTTGAATGACTTTTAGATTAAATTAAACTATTGGATTTTTCGCTCTCAGTTTCATGCGTAATAGTTGACTCAAGCTTCGCCCTCAAAATCCAACTGGTGCCCGTATTCCAATTGTTAGTTAGCAGTACGCACCTTGCTGCTTTGTTTCTCTTTGTTGTGCTACCAAATCGTCCAACCTCTGACTCATGTTTCCAACATCAATTTTGATTTGATCAAGGTAATTTTTGACTTCCCCTAAGGATGAACATTTCAATATTATTAGCGGAATAGAAGCCTCAACTGATAGCCACTCCATTTAAAATAGATCGCGTGTGAAAAACAATAAACTTTTCAAAAATAACTTAATGTCATTGCTAATGAGCGACAGTAATTCCCAGCTCTGCTGTGCAACATGTCAAATGGTTTTGGCAGAGGTTTAGGTAACTATTTCCATAATCGGGTGACGATGGTCTTATAGGCGGCTGTAGCCGGAAAAGAGCTGTAAGGCAAAACCCAAACACGACAGCTTCGCCGGTTACACGAACGGCGATGAGAGGTCTTATTGCAAATCCTTCTAAAGAGCACCTTTTTGCACTCAAAAGACACAAGTCTACTTTCAATGAAAATTAAGCATTATTCATTGCCCATCTTTAGACTTTTCTTTCAAGTTTTTGTCTAAACTGTGTATTGAAAACAAACAGTACCTCTCTACTGCACTGTCCGTAATTTCCGTGGGATCGTATGCCAAATTGTGTTAGTATATTTGGCTAATTCATTATTTGCAGTGTGAGCCACGTTAGTTTACAAACTTTGAGTCGGTTATTTAAACGAGGTCTAACCCAAACCACGGTTTTACACAATGAGCCTTACGCGTTCCCTAGAAGAGGGTTGATTTAAGTAAATAAATGTCCTTCCGCAGTTAGCTTTAGGCTCTCTTGACACTTTTCACAAAAATGACTTTTCAGGCAAAAGGTTCGGCTAAATTGAAGATAGTTTAGGACGTGGTTTTGTTAAACAACGGCCAAACTTTGTGTAAATGACCGGGCCTTTACGTTTCGTTCTACGAGGTTATATAGGTTTAATCTGTTTTCACGTTGTTCACTCAAAAAATGCAACATTCTTACGGTGAACACCCTCTTAATAATAACTCTCCCGAAGCTCCGCATTTCAATAGATGAATCGCCCTTGAATTCATAGCTGCTGTAGTGACTAACCTTGATGCTGTGTTTCCCCTTGTTGGGCAATCATTAAAATTGACAACTTGTCTTGTATGCTTCCAATTTCACTTCTCATCTGATCAATGTCATTTGTCATTTTTTCTAAATTTCAAAACACATATTTGTCTGAAATAAGTCCAGGTTTCCTTTTCCCTTTACTCTAAAAGAAATAGCTGAAACAAGTTTTTTATTCGTATTTCATGCGTATATGAAACAACCAACAATGGAAAACCAAAAACTTTCATTCATTCCTTTTAATTTATTTGGGAGTATTAGTACCATTAATACTTTTTTTTTCGTTTTTATTGTTTCTTGCTGTTGTTTTTCTTTCTTTTGGGGGGAGGGGTTGTGGTACATTTTCATCAACCATTAAAATAATCAAACCACATACAGCAATATGCACCTCACTGCGCTTTGACAGTTGATAGGTTAGAAAATTTTAAAGCACCTCCCATACTTCTTAATTGTAAAAGGTTAATTTTAATTGCAAAAGTGACGTAATAAATGGTATTAAGAATTCACCCTGATCTTGTGCTTCATGTTGTTGTGCCATTAAAGTGTCCAGCTTATCACGTAGATTTCCAACTTCAGTTCTCATCCTGTCAAAGTTGTTCGTCACTTTATCTGAGGGTAACAACATTTTTACGGTTTTGTAAGTTAGAACTTCCCTTCGAAATTGGGTCTAAATCCTCTTTGAAAGGATTAAATGTCTTCTCAGGTACAAATAACGCGCAAACAAGCGTTAAAAGCTAACAAAGATATGTGCTAAAGATCGATAAATCTCGTGCAAAAACATAATTTAGTTTTTGATCAGAGGTTAGGCGAGAGAGATGGAGCTTCATCCACGTCATCGTATCCAATTTTTCCACAATATTTCCTAATTCGCATCTCAGCTGATTAAGATCTTTTTTATTGTTCCATGTGCTGGCTGAGAGTGAAAAACCACGTTAGTTTTCCTGCAGCAAAGTCTTACCTTTTTTAACATAACATTCATAAACCCTTTCACTCCCTTGATCTCATTGGTAACTATCTAGTGTTTTTTTTTTCTCTCTTTAGCTTTTTTTGTTCTGTTTTGTTTTTCCCACGCTCGTGACAAGATAAAAAACATTCTTCTCTATTTCTTTAGCCGAGCTCAAAATTTACGATCTTTCTTATTCTATTTAAAAAGAGGCTGCTATCGACATTGCTGATCTTAGTAGCATGCAGGACGCGTGTCATATAGGAACTGCGTAATGGGCTTAGCTCACCATAGCGTCTCTGTGGCTCAGTAGTACAGCAGTGCAGCGCGGAATCCGAAGGTCTGAGGTTCGATTCCTCGTGTGGAATCAGAATATCTCTTTCTCTAGACAAAATTTTTCTCTTTATCTAAACTTGTTTTTGAGAATCTGTGATTTCACCAAGCGATAAATCCCTCTAGGGATTATTTTTCTTAATCTTTAGCACCTGTCTGTTTACCATTGTATCTTGATTGGTTTTATTTTTGCTTCTGATCAGATGACGATTTGCTCGAGTATTCTTGGCCAATGTGGAATATGGCCACTGTCACGATAACCAGTGGGTAACATTAAAAAGTCGTGACTGAAACATAACTACACCAATCAAAACCTAAATGTCCAAGGCTGATTTTGTCATTCCTCCCGACACCTTTTGCTTGATTAAGGTTACATTCTTCGCTACGTATTATATGCACCTTCAATTTCCTGCAGCTTTTCTTTAACATTGTCTTTATCTTCCTTCCACTGTTTCAGCAGCTGCCTGTAGTTTTCTTCAGTAGCAGGGTCCATGCACTTATTCTTAAGATTACTGATAGTATCTCCATAACGTGCTCCTACCAGTCCCACTATGGCATTGCTAATCTCCTGCCAGTAATTGTTGAATGCAACATCGTCCACAGAGGCTTGGCTGGCATGGCCATACACAGTATTACGGTAGTATTTCAGCCTAGCGATGTTGGCCTGCTTACTCAAATCTGTAGACGGGGGAAGACTGTCCCATCCAGTGCTGGGAGGAGCTAACCCACAGATGTTCCTCAGTAAAACCATCAGTAGTGTGATATCAAACCCTACTGATGAAACAGATGATGGAGTAACTGGATACAGTTTCTCCCATTGCGTTTCATTCAAGACCCTCTTGTCCTTTAGAAACGTCAGTTTTGCATGCACTGGATGACGCCCCAAAACTGTAGGAAGTCTTCCTGGAGGGTGAATGGCATCAAAAGTGTGTCTCAAGGCTTGGGATCCAACGTCCACCAGAAGGCGACAGAGTCGAGCATAGTTGGTTGTCTCCTTGGTAAAAGGAAATTCTGGTGTAGCAGCTGATGCCATGTGCTGTAGTAAAGATCAATTCACAACAAGAATGTGAGATTTTTAGAGTGAAACTTTTTTAGGCAACCAGGGAAGAGCAACTAAGGTGATGAGGTTTTTACCTGAAGCATGGAGCAATCTCTCATAAAAAAAATCGGTGAAAAAACATTTAATTTAGCGTGCTGAACTCTGGTAGTCTACTTTTTCGGCGCCTTACATCTAAACTTCTGTACAGCACACTTAAATCAGTTTTTTTTACTCATTTTTTTTTTCCATTTGCACAAATTGCAGAACCAAAATGCAGAGACTTTTTGTGGTATAAAAGAAAAAAGAAAAATGGTTGTAGTCTAACTGGAGGGATTTTGTGTTTGAACGCAGGGCAGGCTATCAACCACTGATCCGGTGCGCTTGGAGCACTCAATTATTTAAAACATTCATTAAATTGTCTGCTGTTATTGAAATGTTTTGGATGCTTTCACTGATTAAACTTGGGCTCCACTTCTGATCCTCTGGCTGGCCAAGAGAAGAGAGAACCAGGGAACGTAATTCTATTTCATCGCAAAATGTTAAATAATGAATGTTTATGTTAAATTACCTGAAAAATTTGTGAAGGCTTTTATAATTTTAATATAATTTTAATTTTTTAATATTTATTTAAATCTCATGCTGAGTACATATGTTTGTGATCTTGAATCAATCCAACTTACGGTAATTGTTTATTACACATTAGAATTAAGTGGGATTAAGACTAATTATCAATTCCATTACATTGTTTTGTTTTCAGGTAAACCATAAAATTCCTTACCCTACAAAAATTTCTACCTCAGAAAGTACTGGCCACCAAGACTAAGTGCTGCATTGGTGAGGGGAGGGAGTTTTGTCAATTGAGTTATATTCTATATATATACATACATAATATTATATAACTATATATACATACATAATATTATATAACTATATATACATATATAATATATATTTAATAAATTGAATAAATTTTAGTTGAAACTTTAAGTGTATATACTGAAGAGCATGTTAATTGGCACAGTGTACAATTAACACATGTAATATATCGATATATCAATTCTCCAGACCCACAATTTCCTTTGCAATCAACATCAGGACAATGTAATTTTTCTGCCTGATTTTACAGGAAGTACTAGCATCATGTTTACAATAACTGTAATAGTTTCATGGAGGTACATGGAATATTACGTGTCTCAAAGTAGTGCAATGAAAGGATTATTTACAAACATTTATATTCATATTTTCGATTATCAAAACTCTGGATTAACTGGACTATAAAGCCAACAAGTCTCTACAACGTACGGGCCTGAATTTTTTTCAGGTCCAATTTACAACTTCTCGTTTCAGTAGTGTTCTTAGCTGCGAGGATCTCTTAATTTCAAGTCTCTACAAGTCTGGATAATCAAGGTTTGACCATACAGTCAACTGTCCGATTACACTGTCAGTTTATAAAATAATTAGTGAAAAATAAAGCAGTTTAATTACAGAAACAAAAACATTTCTACTGTACAGTGGCAAGAGTAATATTATAAAATGGAACCCTTAACCCTTTACACCCTAACATTAGTGTTCATATTCTCCACACTGATCTCTCTACATTTCCTGTGGCAATGACAAGGAGAATTTTGTTTGACAATCAAGAGCTTCTTAAACTGTTGATTATTTATATTACTCTCACAACTGATTTGCACGTGATTCAAGGGTGATCCTGTAAGGAGAAACTAGAAGCCAGACACTCTTAAGGATTTTAAGGGTTAATAAACTGGTGAAAATCTTCCATCTGGCTTTTAAATGCATATTGATTATACGGTCACATTTTTGGGTGTTAGAGGATTGGACTCCAGTGTTAATATTATGGGATGTGTTAATAAGATGTTGGTTATTGAAGAAAATGTTGAGTTCAGTTTAATGAATGGCTTCATGTACAAATACATGCACATACAGTAAGTAGGTAAATTATACTGCATTCAAATATATTTCTTTTTTCAGATTAGTTTGAATGCAGTTTAGCTGTACAAATATTAAATGCAATAATTGCAGCCTACATGAAGAGTAAGCTGTGAAACTGACTTTCTTGGCCCCCCACCCCTCCCTCCATAGCCACATTCCCAATTAAAGTACATGCTAGCTACTGAAGTAGATGTTGAGTTCAGTATGATGAATGGCTTCATGTACAAATACATGAACAGACAGCAAGCAATTATAGTGTAGGTAAATTATACTCCTCTCAAATGCATTTTTTTTTCTCAGATTAGTTTGAATGCCGCTCAACTATACAAATATTATTTGCAATAAATGCAGCCTGCGTGAAGAATAAGCTGTGAAACTGACTTTTTTGGCCCTCATCCCCACTTTCCCACCTCCTCCCCCCCATACTCAATTGCCAGTCCAGACTTCACATTTGAAATTCCTTGTCTTACATTTCCGATTATAAATCTGACTGATCGAAAGCTAGAATATCAATACAAAAGCGTGTATCTTAATGTTTATAGCATCTTTAGATCGTGCAAGGTCGTTCATTACTGGGATACCTGTGGTAGCCCAGTCATAAAATGCCTTTGTTTTTTTGTCGTCTTTTTTTTTTTTTTTTTTACTGGGATACCTGTGGTAGCCCAGTCATAAAATGCCTTTGTTTTTTTACTGGGATACCTGTGGTAGCCCAGACATAAAATGCCTTTGTTTTTTTTGTTTTTTGTCTTTTTTTTTTTTCCTCCGCCACAAAATGGAAAAATTGCGCAATAGTACCCAGTGGTCATTGCGCCCTCAACACCATGACAACTAACTGTGATCCAATGAGGGTGAAGGTGTCCACATGCTGATCACGTGTTATCTTGATAATGATTGACGTTGTCATGCACGGACAGGTCCGGGTCACATGACGAACACGAGATTTTTGCTTAGAAAACTCTTTTGTCGGTCGTTTTGTATTTCAACGTGTTCTGATTACGATCACCTGAAGCATTATAGCGCAAACGCTCGAAATACTTACAGACGCATACACAAGTCGTATTGTTCGCCGCCAATCCACACTAAAAGATGTTATTGAGCGGTAATTTTGGACCGGATTGAATCGCGAACTGTGTATCCGTTGAAGTTTCTGGTGATTTCTGCCGTTTTAAGCTTGCTTTACCATCACTGTTATTCACATAATCTACTTTTTGTTACGTTGGTAAAATCTGTACAGACATCACACAAACCAACTCGCGCACAAAGTAAGAAGAGTATATTGAAGGCTTGAAATTATATTACGATCGATTTTCATCAAGAAATGGGCTAGGAATTTTCCACAATAGTGCAAATAATCGTGAAGGCTGATCGAGGAAAAGCGATTGCGTGACGCTCGGTAAGCTGTAAGATGACATGTTATTATTTACCAGACGTAAAAACTCTTCAGATTCTCAGTCTGCATTTTGTACCCACTCTGTAGTCTCCAGTCTATATTTTGTATCCGGTCTGCTGACTGCATTTTGTACTAACAGGTATCTGTGGCACCAATACAGTTTATTTTTGGTTACATTTATTCGCTCAACACACATAATCTACCACAAAATACCTGTGTGTGAGGTAATTCGACATTTTCGTTCTTTTCCACGTTAATACTCTTCTTTCCTTTTGTAAGAATGTAGACCACCAGTAATCCACCCACCCTACAAAAAATAACTCTTGCATGCATAGCATGCCTATGTTTTGAAATAGGTGTATGCCCTTAGCCAGACTTGAGCTCACTATTTCAGTATACTAATCCGACACCCGTAGTATCACTACACTTGATTCCAAGGATCCAGTACCATCCAGGTATCCCAGTTACCCTGCTCACAGGGTCTAGTTTTTTTGTCGTCTTTTTTTTTTTTTTCCTCCGCCACAAAATGGAAAAATTGCGCAATAGTACCCAGAGGTCATTGGGCCCTCAACACAATGACAACTAACTGTGATCCAATGAGGTGTTCACATGCTGATCACGCGTGCTATCTTGATGATGATTGACGTTGTCATACACGGACAGGGCCGGGTCACATGACGAACACGAGATTTTTGCCCATAAAACTCTTTTGTCAGTCGTTTTGTATTTCAATGTGTTTGGATTACGATCATCTGGAGCATTATGGCGCAAACGCTCAAAATACTTATAGACGCATACACAAGTCGTATTGTTCGCGGCCAATCCACACAAAAAGATGTTATTGAGCGGTAATTTTGGAACGGACTGAATCGCGAACGCTTGAAAGCCATGAAAGCATTGAATGCCTTGTATGTCTTGTATGCTAAGTATGCCAATGTCTTAGTTGAAAACGTTAACTTGTTGTAAAAGGCAGAATCTGAAATCTGAAACCAAACTGCATATACTCTATGCAATCTATTGAACAACACTGCTACCGTGAGACTGAAGAACAAAATTCAAATGAATGCAAACTGCTTGTGAAGAAAGAGGCCATGTTGGACTCACTTGATGCCAGGGAACATAGCTACGATAACAGTGCGAATGATATTAATTTCACGATCAGAAAGGTGAATCTTATGTTTGTTTTCATTGTAGTTGTATGGATATTTTTTTTTAATAAATACATGATCCAAAATCCCGTGTTTTTTGTGTATAATGTTATTATGTTAAGTATTGTTTACGCGATTGTCTTGTCACAGGCGACCCAAGGTCACGTCTCGAGAAAGAGCCAACGATTAATTCACGAACGCGTCACGCGTTGTGTGACTCAGAGTAAGTTATGCTAGGAACCATTGAAAATTTGAACACGTTATTAGGAATAGTATAGGGAACGAAATATGGTCGATTTACAACGATAAATATTTCGAAATATGAAGATTTTTCTCGTAAAATCAATAAAACTTACTCATACCCTGTGAATCCGTTGTAGTTTCTGGCGATTGTTGCCGTTTTAAGCTTGCTTTACCATCACTATTATTCACGTCATCTACTTTTATTACATTGGTAAAATCTGTACAGACATCACACCAACCAACTATGTTGAAGGCTTGAAACT